GATGAATAAATCTAATAAAAAAAATCAAATATAAAGGGATGAAATTGAAAAATAATTAACTTAATAAATGATTCAAGACCAAAACATTGTAATTAAAAGAATGATGACAATTCTAATATAAAAATCAAGTGTCAAGGGATAAAATTAAAAAAAAAATAACTTAATAAATAATTCAAGACTAAATACATTGCAATCAAAAGAATAATGATTTAATTTAACTTAACAAAAAAATAACCAAACTTTTTTTTTTGTAATGAATAAACAATTTCCTAGGGAGAGAGAAAGGAAATTAGGAGAGAGAAAAGCTCATGGTCGTGACTCCTTTGTGTGATGGCTGCGAACACGCATCTCATAACTGTGATGGGGTTATAATTATGTGTTTTTTTATCTTGAAAATACCTAAAAAAAATAATACTGACATGAAAAGAATTTTGGGTTTTAGGTTGATTTTGGATTTTGGACTGATTTTTTATATGTTTTTAGAGGTTATAAATTGGTTTAACAAGGTTTTTTGGTTGTTTTTTAGGTGTTTAGAATTAAAAATATGTTGAAAACCAATTTTAAAAAAAAAATCTCTTATTTTTTTGGCATACCAATAGCCAGATTCTAGGCTTAGCGGATGATGCATCATCTACATCAGCCCTATTAAACTTTAAAAAAAAAATTAGAAGGCCTGTGTGGGGTCGTAGCTTTATGGGTCAGGCACTGGGCTTGGCTTACTAGGTCCAATAATGTCTGATCTAATTTTTTGTTAAAAAATAATTTTTTTAATTAATGCTTTATTTTTAATGAATTTTAAAAATATTTTTTTGATATATTATTTAATTAATAGCCCTTCTTTATAATTTTTTTTTTGCTTATTTAACCTTTTTTAGATTACAATTATTTTTTTTATAATAAAGGGTGTGTTTAATTTTTTACAGAAGTTAATATGATTCATCTATGAGTATTTTAAAAAATTATTTTTTATATAGATTGGATTTGTTTTTATTTTTTTTAAATTGATTTCTTATAAGATTTTTAATGTGTGAAACCTTATATAATATTTATTTTATTTTATTCATGCAATTTGAAAAGTTAATAGGGATTCAAATTTATTTTGTTTTATTTTTTTATTTTTTTTAAATTGATTTCTTATAAGATTTTTAATGTGTGAAACCTTATATAATATTTATTTTATTTTATTCATGCAATTTGAAAAGTTAATAGGGATTCAAATTTATTTTGTTTTATTTTTTTATTTTTTTTATTTGTCATTTTTTTAGTTTTTTGATTATTGTCTTATATTTTTATCATATTATTAAACTAATCAAGATTTTACCAAGTTATTAAATTCCTCTTACTTATTTGAAAACATAAGCATCTCCTGAACTTTCTCCTTTCCGGTTTAAAAAATTAAATGAATACTGTACAAATAAGATTATTGAGATATTTCATGAATATTATACAAATCTATTTTTATAATATTGAAAAACATTCATCTTTCACATTTTTATTTGTTGCTGATACTTTTATCGTTATATTTTTATATGATGAAAAAATATAAAGGCCCGTAGAGTAGCACAATTTGCCCAATAGTGTATAAATAATAACAGTTAGACTATATCATAAACATAAAGCTACACTACAAAACAAAGAATAATAATAGCACTAAATACAGATAACAACTAAAACACTATACTACAATTAGGTGATTTTTTTTTAATGTGAAATAATATTGAAATGATGATATCACTTTTAGGTCCCATATTATTGATTTGAATAGGTTAAATATGATTAGTTAATTTAATAATATAATTGTAAAAAAATAAAAAATAATGATTAATAAAAAAAGAATGCTTGCCACTATTAAAAAAATACATTCTTTATTATTAAAATTTTTCAACCATTTTATTTGATAACAAAGTAAAAAATTGAATGAAAACGAAATAATCTCATCAAGAGAAAAATAAAATAAAATTTTAATTTCAATTATTAGCAAATAAAAAGCTATGACAAGTTGAAAAAATATCAATTTAAAAAAATAACAAAAAACCCAACTTTAGTCAAAACAACCTCATGCAAAAGAAACAAATAAAAAATGGAGATCAAGTCCCATAAAAAAATAAAAAAAGGTGAAAATAAAAAAAATAAATTAAAAAGATACTAAATAAGAATTCTAAATCTATTGGGGTTAACTCGACTACCTAGCGACCTTAGATAAAAGATTAAGATAACTCTGTAGAAAAGATAACATCGAAAACCATGAAGCTGAAGGTCTAGTAATCTAATATGAAAAGATAAAATTAAAAAAAATCAAAATCAAAATCAAATCAGGCTAATCTTTGAAACTCGTGATCTGAGTTATGAGACCAGGTTACTATATAAAAGGCAAACCAATAAAAATCACAAAGAAAAACTTTCAATCATCTAAAATTAAAATAATAATAATAATAAGGACAAAATCTGACATAAAACTAAATGAAATAAACTAACAAGGGATGAAAGTGAAAAAAAACAAAAAAAAAACGATGAAATAAAAAATAAGAATTAAAAAAACAAGAAACAAATATGATAGATGAAGAAATTGAAGAAGGATGAAATTATAAAATAATTTATAAATTATAAATTATTCCATATAAAACAAATAGTAATAAAAAAATAAAGATCAAATTCAAAATAAATAAAATTAAAAGGTTCCTTTGAAAGATTTAAAAGTTTGGTGTGAGATATAAGGTAAAGAGAAAGAAAAAAGAAAAAACTAAAGATCTCTAATGCCAAACAAGAGGTCTATTATATATATATTACCCGGACATGAAAAGGTAATACGCACAATCCAAAGTAGCTAAACATTATCCATGTGTTAATGCGTTCAATGTACGTGTCAACCATTTATTTTAATAATATTTATATTAATTAAAATATCAAATTGTTTCTCAACACACTTGATTATAACAAAAATATCATGTTGAAAATATAAAAAAGCATCTAAAATTTTGCTTTTAGGAATGCTTTAGTCATTTTATTGTTTTGAAAAAAAATAAAAAGATTAAAAAACTTTTATATGTTAGTTTATTTTTTTTATTTTAAAGATAAACGAGTTAAAATTATAAAGACAGATTTACTTCCATCCAATTTGATAATACTAATTTAACCTAATGAAAACACTATTTTAGTCCATAATCTTCATTTCATTTCATTGGTTGTTATTATAGAGAGTAGAAATATAATTGCACTGTTTAATCATCCATGGTGAAAGCATGATCCCATTTAATTTTTTCTTTAATAAAAATGCTACAGAAAACCTCTCATTCTCATTTACAAAGGACCAAAACGAGAGTTAATTTTAGGCTTTCTGGCTGAACATTTGAAAGCTAGTTCATCTTGTTCTATCTATATCACCACCAAGTTAATTTGTTATCCTAGCTTCAAAATCACTAACTGACTTACCAATTATATATATATATATATATATATATATATATATATATTGCATATTACATTGTTATATAAACCCAATATGAAAATCAATCACTAATTAGATAAAACATAAAAGTCAATTACTAATTAGGTGAGGTAACTTGCATTAATAAAAAAAAATTGTTTTATAAATATAAAAATAATTTTTTTTAAAATTAGATAGTTTAATTAGATTAGTTGGATCATAAATTAATCAAATTAATTTCTTTTTAATACCCAGGTTGACTTTTTAAAAAGAAGTCAATTAATCATATTAACTCTAAATTGACTTCTTTTTAACACAACCTCAGCTAAAAAGCGAGTTCACTAAGTCTAATAGCAGCAAATTACCCCAAATAGATTGATATAATAATACGAGAGACATTACTTTTGTTTTTGTCAATGGTATAGCAATATTAAATATCAGCCTTCCTCTGGAAATCCAAGAAAAAAAAATATAAAATTTTCATAAATCTCGTAGAGATTGAACTCTGGGTATCACTAGCTTGTATATACAACACTTATATATGAAAAATAACTATAAATTATGTTTCACCTTATCCTTTAGGTTCAAAATAAAAAAGAAACTCAATCCTAATTTTTTATTTTCATTTTGAACACAAATGATAGTATCATAATACAATATGCTTGGAAATATGATTAATATATTTAATAATTGATTAATTTTTTATTTTAAGTAATTTAATTTATTTTTTTTAGTAAATATGTGTGATAAAGTGATATAAAAAACTTAGATAATTAATAATTGGTAGCATGTGGTGCCTAATAAGTCAATATAACTAATACATGTAAAAATTCATTCTTGATGGATGTAAAGACCCTCTAATGCTTAAGTTAATAAATTTATAAAATGTTTAAAGTGTTAAAAATGAATAGATTATAAATCTTGTGTTTGAAAAATTCATAATATATTTATTGTTCATGAATCTTGTTTTTTTATAAAGAATTACTTTTATAATATTTTGAATTGTTTTTTTATTAAAAATAATATATATTAAAAAAATATAAAATATTCAAGAATAAAATATTAAAGAACTTGTTGTGTGTGGTCTTGAAAAATTTTTAAAAATTTGTTGGGCTCGAAAAAGAGGTAACGGTTTAAGAGGGCCACCCCTTGAGACTGGGCTCAAGAATATCGTTCGCACTAAAAAAAAGGGCTAGGCGTTCACCCAGCACCTGTGCTCGGGGCTGGGCGCGCCCTCAGCATCTGAGCAGGGTGTTAGCCTGAGCCCACAAGACGTTGGATATAGGCTTCGAAAATGGGCCCACAACTATTGTGGGTGTTGTGCTGAAAGAGATAAATCTTGATACACAGGGATAGAGTAAAACAGAAGGATAGAAAAATCATATAAAGAGCCATGTTTCTTGTTTTCTAAGAACTGAAAGTTGTTGCATTTAATTAGTCCTCTTGCCCCTATGAACAATATAAACATGAAGTTTAATTGGATCTTAAATAGAGTCTAGAATTTTCATTAAAGTTTATGATAGATCAAACAAAAACGAAAACGAAAACAAAAGCTTTGGATCATCAATCATCAGACCTGCAACGATAGTACTTGGAACAACCGCGAGAAGGAGAATTAGATGGAGGTGGAAGACAACTACTACTATAAGACTGACCACTAGCGCCACCATTACAAACTGGTTGGTCTGGCTTTAAAGTACCAGGTGATATATACTTACTCTTCTCTTCAAGATACCTTTTACTAACATGAGATGGCATCAAGAACTCGTATTCTTCATCGCATTCTGCTATCGAACCATTGCATCCATTCGTTTTCGACGCCACCTTGTCGCCGAGCTGCAATATTACGAGGCTCAAGATCACTAGAAGGAAACAGAAATGAGGGAAGCACTTCCGTTCCATTTTTTATTTTTTTTTTGGTCTAGTGTTAGTGCTTGTCTTTGTTTGCAGTTCCAAGCACTTAAGTATAGGGTGATGCATTGAAATGGGAATAATTTTCCTTCCTGTAAAGCTAGTTAGTGGAGGACGCATTAGGGATAAGCAGAAGGAATGAGGGACCGCACTTCACCAAACCTAGCTATGATGGTGTCGCATTTTATCGATTTTTTCATGTGTTAGTTTCAACTTGGTATACATATTTTACTATGTCATTGAATTTAGCTATCTGAACTCATTCTGGTTTCACATTTACTTGGTGGAAGTCAAGTGTGATTATATTTAGGGGCGTTCAAACCTGGTTTCGGTTCATTTTGCACTAAAAACCCAACCCAAATATCTTTTTAATTTCTAAATTTTTTGATTAAAACTAAATTGAAAATTAATTCAAACCAAACCGGTTTAGTAGTTTAGTTTGGTTTTTCTCTCTTACATGATAAGGAACCTCATAGGTTTTTAATTCAGCTTATTTTGAGTTTTTTAATGGGTCTATACTGAATTGGAACCTTTTAATTCTTAAATACAAGACCGTAAAATGATTTTTTTTAAGACATATAACTAAACTGATTTTATCTCACTTTTACATGATAATCAAGAATTATCTAATATAGAAAATTCAATCAACCCAAGCTTTTATAGGAAGAATTCATTGTTATGATTACGGTAAAAAGCAAAGAGTAACAATCTACTCTAAGATTAGGGATGAATACAAATATTATGATACCCCAAAGCCTCTAGTCCTTAGAATGCTACAAGATTCATCAATCCATCCTCTCTCAGTAAATTTGCTACAGTTGCAGGTTCTTCCATGGTTCTTGGGTCCAATACCACCTTCACTTTTGTCTATCCACATGCTTTGAAGAATCCCTTTTATTTTTTTTTCTACACTCTTTAATTGTCCAGTGTCTTGATTAGGAACTAAAGAACTCGAACATTCCTTGTCTAAATAAAGTTTCAGGATTTCCATTCTCCTTGCAACCGTCCAAGAAA